CAGTCTCTCTTTCTCTATCTCTCTCTCTCTCCCTCTCTCTCTCTCTCTCTCTCTCCCTCCTCTTCACTACTTTTGCTTTTTCCTTGACAGACAATACATGGAAGAACTGGTCAAGTATGTGGAGAGGAATCCCAAATCTGCCGTGGCCTCAAAGTGGAAGCAAGAGAATATCATCAAGTGAGGTTTCCTCCTCTATTTTCTATAGCTGTCCCCGTCATTTTATGCAAGAAAAATTCTGAAATTATGCTAATTGAGCCCAAAACTGTGAAATTATGCAATTCTTTTAATTTTTAACAAAGAATGATAAAAGAAAATAATCAGAAATTATGCAAAAAATGATCAAATTTTGCTAAATTATGCGGGGTGCATGGAACCACGGGGACAGCTATAGATATAATATTCAACTTCCACAGGTATTTCAGAGAACCTGTACAGGTGGGAGATGGGAAAAGAAAACGGGATAAAGTTAATAGGCAGGGGATTGAAAGCCTTTGAGCAGAGAGATGAGCAGTAGTGGTGGGCATTGCGATATATCGATATATTTGTACATCGATACCGTATTGAAGCAGTGAGAAAAGTATTGATATTTCGATATTTTGATATGCCCACCCCTCAAAGAGATAGAGAGAGAGAGAGTGAGAGAGAGAGATATGTATATCTACTAGGATACCTCATTGACTTTACGTTTTCCCCACAATAAAACACAAAAAATGTTTTCAAAATAATAAATTTAAAAATGGAAGACAGCTTTGTTTTGCGCGTCGATACTTTATCAACCCGACTCGTTAATTATCTATATATTTGATGGCGAATTTCAATTTATCTATAATTATTTTGTAATATAAAAAAATATTGATATATTGATATTTCATGTGAAAAAATATCAATGTGGTATCGAATTTGATGTTGCTGATATCGCCCATCACTAATGAGCAGCAGAAAGTGGAAATTGAAGCAGATGACAGAACATATTTAGAGAACAGAGAAGAAGGTTAAAGGGAAATTATTATTAGAGAGAAGAAAATTGTTGACCACCGTCAGGTTTGAAACCCAGGACCTGTTGAATGAGAGATGAACACTGTGCCTCTCGACCCCGAGAGGCCTCATTTACTGTAAAAGTAAAGTAAAGTTGTTCCCGCATCCGATCCGGACATTGGGGATTCCCTTGTTAGTGAGACAACTTCCTGGGCCTTCGGCATATTGTGGTAGGGTGGCCAGTTCCTTTCCACGCCGTCTTTTCATCCCCAACTCGAAGTCAGGTACCCATGACTGCTGGGTGGGCAGGAGGGGGCGAAAAAATCTGTGTCTGAACCGAGGCTCGAACCAGGACTTTCTGCTTTGAAGACGTGCGCACTAACCTCTCTGCCACCGCACCCTCATCTCATTTACTGTTCTTGCTCTTTTCTTCATGAAGTTCTAATTGTGAAGCGTGCTGACAAAATGAGTTGCTTCTCGGATTTGAGCCCTATGGAAATAGATACATCACGCTTGTCTTATCGGTGAATTTTTCTAAAATTTGTCACACCTTGTCCACAAGGTTGGGGTCACTACAGTCGAACATGCCCATCTCTGTTTTTACAATTTATAAGTATGAAATAATAAAAGGCATGTTATACTCAAAGGATATGATATCAATAGTAAATCTACACAATTGACCCGTATGTCGATTTTTGGCCAATATCTCCGTTTGTGGATTGCGAGAAGTAACTCATTTTGTCAGCACACCTCACAGTTGTGTCACAATGCGGTGTAATCAGGCACTCGTCAGTTTTTGGACATGTGGAGTTATTGGTATTATTATCTGAAAGCTTATTCATTTGCCTTGCTTTCTGGGGGGAAAAAATAACCAAAGTGTCTTGAATAGAGGTCGAGATATTTACCATTGAAGGAGGTGGGGGTGGCCTGGTCTCAGAGGTAAAAATCAAAATTAGCGAGAAAATGGCTGCCAAACTTTGGTAACATCTATAGCTTGAGAGTCCTTGAAAACTGAAAAACTACGTATTTTGTGCCATTAATCAGCGTCTTTCAGTTAAATTCACATGGAAATGTTCCTTTATATGGAGATAAATGGGTTGAGCATAAAAAATTTTATAAATAAAAATGTCAAAATGTTGGGAAAAAGTACTTTCTTCTTCCTCGTTCCCGATGACAGCAGCTAGACAGAAAAATACCTTTTTCTTTGACTTCAATATTTTGACGAGTGCCTGATTTTGCCACAATGCCTCCCAATTGCGTTTCCAGAAGCCTGCCTGCACCTTTGAGAGACGCCATCAACCCTAGACAGTGGCGCAAGTTGTATACCCTTCATGACATCAACTCGGCCCTCTCCAAAGTGCAGCTTGTTGGCTTCAGTCAGAAAGTGGTCAGTACAAACCATACACTGTGTACAGATTTTTTTGAGGACTTTGTCTTTTACTCTCTCTCTCTCTCTCTCTCTCTCTCTCTCCCTCGCTCCCTCTCACTCTCTCTCCCGCACCCTCTCTCTCTCTCACTCTCTCTCTCTGTGCTTTGGTATTTTTACATGAAGAATGTATCACAGTTGAAAGCTAGGTAAAAGTTTACAAGACTTTTAATAAACAATTTTGTCAATTTTCTGGATAAATCTGGATTTTTTAAATTGTCTGGATTTTGCACTTTATAAAAAAAATCTGGATTTCTGAAATTGGCTGGAATTTTTCACTTTTTATAAAAATGTATAAGACACTGTCAACCCTGAATTTTGAATCCATACTCGTAGGCCTATGTCTCCACAGGGTTCGAAATGTTCAGGGTTATTATTCGAAGCCAATTGGCACCTCTCGTTATTATTCACACTTAACCCATGGGGCGGTGCTACTGACTGAAGTGTCTTTAGGCCATTTCCAAAGGGGGAACATTAACATGTTCTTTTGCACAGTAGAATTGTAAATGGGCTGATTCATCAATTTCATGCTTATAACTGTGCCTGTTCTACAACAGGGAACTGCTGCTTTTTCTTTCCTACTCTTTATTTAGTCATTTGTCCTCTACTTCTTTTGTTTGTTTGTCACACTCGCTTTTTCCGGGGTTCCTTGATAGTCGAAGCAGACTTTATGCTGTTAAAGCTAGAGAGGTGAGCAGAGTAAGCATGATTCCCTGTATGGATTTCTCTGTTGACATCCACCCCTTGGAACTCATTTGACCTTATGCAGTTTTGAGTGCCGTAAAAACTCTACTAAAACTAAAACTACTCACGTTTCATATCCTCCACAGGACATCTTTGGCTCCCTCACAGTGACCCCCGCCAGTTCCGGCTGCTGTATTGGCAGTTGTAACTGGATCATCCAGTCCACATTTGAGAAGGTACCTGTAGTACGGAGAATATAACTTCGTTTTTGTTAATTCTTTAAACCCCATCGGGCGCTGGGAGCGTCTGGCGGTAATAACCCCGTTCCCCATCCGACGCAGTAATAACCCTGTTCACCATCGGGCACTGGGAGCGTCTGGCGGTAATAACCCTGTTCCCCATCGGACGCTGGAGCGTCTGGCGGTAATAACCCCGTTTCCCATCGGAGGCTGGGAGTGTCCAATACTAGTGACAACTGTTGCGTTTCATTTAGTGCTAGTTTTTTCTTGTTTTTCGGAACTATTCCCAATCCACGTTTTTTTTTTTGTAATGGGTAAGCCTTTGTTTTTGCTATTTAGAAGTTGGAGGCAAGCTTTTGGGGTTATAATGAGACACAGTGCACCAGGTTTAGGTGACTGTAGAAAAAACTGTGGGAAAAGGTGGAAAAACTCAGGGTTTAAAGAGTTAAATCTTTTCTGATTTTTTTTTTAAGAAGACATTTAGAGTGTATCGATGTGAAAGTCAGTTGGAATGTAACTAGTGTTTTCTTGTTTTAGATCTACTTTATCCAAAAAAATTAACTATTATTTTAACATTTATTATGTTAAATCATCTACTTGGACTGGATGAAATTGAAATTTTGGACCGCTCACAAAAAGAAATGGAGGCAGAGGCCTGAGAGATTGTGTGGGGTTTTTTTTATAGTGTTTAATTATCCTGTACTGTAACTTCAATGTCTTTGTGACATGTCTTTGAAATAGATATTCTTTTTTCATTTTTCATGTCTCACTTATGTTCACAAGTATGTTAAAATTAAAAACACTTTGCCTTATCTTTTACCTGCAACGATGAAGCAAGCGTTGGTATCAAAAGGCACCTGTTTTTTTATTTGTTATTTTTGTTTTTGTTGTTTGTTTGTTGGTTTGTTTTTGTTTTGTTTTTTGTTTGTTTGGTGTTTTTTTTGGGGGGGTAACAAAATTACTAAAAGGTCATTTTAGAAGCCTCAATGCAAGAAAAGAAGTTGTACAAATAGTTCATTCATTGGATTTCCCACTTTTTCTTTTCAGATTTGTTATGTTGCAGGCACGTCCACCCTCACTACACACCCTCGGGTAAGTTTCAAACTTCTGTCTCCCAAAACCAATTATCCGTAATTTCTATGTTTGTAGTTGGCGGGCACACTTCTTTTTTTTTTAAACCTTCTCTTTACTGTTCTAGTTTTAGTTTAGTTTTAGTAGAGGGTTTTACGGCGCTTGCAACTGCATAAGGTCATAATATGAGCGCCAGAAGATTAGAGATGTCAC